CATTTACTTATTATTTAATCAATTATTAGGTTAATTAACATTTTAAAACGTTTTAATTCTAATGATTTTGGGGTTCATCGTGGCGCCATCTAGCGTTCGTGGCCGCGAAAGTGCTTGGCTCCGATGAGTTTGGAGTTCATCGTGGCGACATCTAGCGTTCACGGCTGCGAACCCGTTTTTCTCTCTGGTGCAGCAATATTGGAGCCAAGCACTTTCGCTTTGGACAATACTTTTCCTTTTTCGTCAATTACTTCCAAACGGATGGACTTCGGGCGACGTATATAGGCTCATTTTGTAGGGGACGACGAGATCTACGATTTCTGTGTAAAAAGAATTCGCTAGTGCCAATAGTTAACGAGTTACAGACGAAAAACGAAAAACGGTTTTTTGCAATTTACTCGCAAACTATTGACGCTAGTGCAAAATTATTATATAGGAATTGTAGATCTCGTCGTCCCCTACAAAATGAGCCTATAGACGCCCCCCTAAGACCATCCGTTTGGAAGTTATTGGCAAAAAACAGAAAAACAGTTTTTTGCAAATCACTCGTTAACTATTGGCACTAGCGAATTCTTTTTACGCAGAAATTGTAGATCTCATCGTCCTCTACAAGAAAGGTCGTATGCAATGTTCCCGTATCTCCAAGGATTTAGGAGTTATTGAGGAAGAACGAAATTTTTTGTTGAAAAGCAAAAGTTCTTGGCTCCAATATTACTGCACCAGAGAGAAAAACGGGTTCGCAGTCGTGAACGCTAGATGGTGCATACACAGTGTAAACGCTAAGAAAGTCGAACTGAAAATGGCCTACGAGTTTCCGCTCGTCGTGTTCGAGTAAACCGTGACAAACATAATTCTCGTGTTATCGTGAATGTTGAGATCGAGAACGCGACGTACACGCACCGAACCTTGGATAGAACCCGACAACTGGAAAACTGTAGAATGATCTAGACTTGACATAAAGATGCTCGGTATAATCGTCTCTGGTCGACTCGTAAGTAATTTATGTTTTCCGATACAACTACCGGTAGTCTGTACTGCTTTCAACGTTAGACTAACGTTTGAATACGAACGAATCATTCTCTGCGGCTTTATTGACATCGCACATACAACCTCGACGCTTTGCCTTAGCCTACGACTAATTTCTATTCCGTTCTCGATTAGTATTTCATTCCTATTACATCCTACAGCCCCTCTTTCCATCGTTCATTGTAACGTTTCCCGTTTAATCGAAAGTGTCGAAAGCATCGAACGATACAAATTTTGGTTATACTTAATACCGTACTCTGTGCGTTTAATTAGGTGCAGACGGATTTCCAACAGATCGGGGAAAATCAATTTTTAATAACAGTACCTGATGCGGATAATATAAATCATATAGTACTGTTCCTCACGGGTACAATACCATTTCCCGATGGAACAGGCGGAGCAGGTATGTTTTACAGCAATACAGATCAAACGATTCTTATCTCACGTATGTTTCATAATTGTTTCTTCAGTATACTTCAGTTGGCCCGATCCCACTGCGCCGCCGAACTGGCAGTTCCTTGGTTACATCTCGAATGCGAAGCCGTCTGCTATATTCAAGATATCGACGTTGAAGAAGAATCACGAGTTCGAAAACAGTAACTTGGGGATCTTCGGCGTAGGGAAGATATCCCATGTGGCGCAGATCGGAGTATCCGTGGATCCGATCGCAGCGATCGAGCAACAAGCAGCCACCCTGGCAGCGACCAATACAAACTCGTTTTTAGAGTTCGTGCAGAAGATGCTGACTAGTTTCTTAAACTACGTGTCGAGTTTCTCCGTGACTCAGGCGCAAATGACGCCGAATCCAACGGAGAACTTCGTACCACTGTCTACGATTCAAGGATGGTACGAGACGTTCGAGAGGAGATTGCAACAGAATCCGAACTTTTGGAAAGCATGATGAGAAACTTCCAGGACAGTTCGTTTCCATTTTCACACAACGATGCGATACCTTTTGCCAGCGTGCTCGATATGAGACGAAACGTTTCGCATCGTCCAGATACAGACATTTCGTATTGTCATTGAAACGTATGATAATAAAAGGCACTGTCTTTTTAAATGCAAAGTGTTTAGCTTAAATACTTAATCGCATTCTCGTACTCGTACGCTCCCTGAATTTGTTTCGCGGAGAAGTGGGTCGGTTCTTTCAATATGATTCATTTCGTTTCGAAGAACTGTGTATTCGCGGTGTGTCGCGTACGTAGTAAATCACGGTAGAACGAGTGGGAATTGGAGAAACGACAGTAAATACGGATACAAGTTACGCGTGTCCAGTGCCTTTCCTTCCGTTCTCATTCGTTTTACGTTCATATTATATAATATAAAACATGTGAAACGAATAATGGATACTAAAGCTAACTTTCATTTCATCGATTGAATTCAAACATTTGTATAAGGCCGATCATACAGTTGTAGTGTGCAAAGCGAGACGAAATTCTGTAAAGGGAGTAACTAAATTGAAATGGCCATGCTGAACCTTCTAACTCAATGAAGGGAAAGTTAAACTTTATTATAATGTATGTTTGTACGCAAATAAAAACTTTTTTTGATGTATACACAGAGTTATTCTCATACTTAAAATCACTCAAAGTACAAATTTTAATGATATAAAGCTTTAACTCGAACGATCAATAATTTGGGGAGCGGGGAATTGATTTTATTTTGCATCTTATGAATTACCTACACGACAAATGAACAATAGGAGACACGGCGAGCAACGTTCGATCGTACTGGCTGCACGGAGAGGAGTCAACAGAAGCCAGCTCGACGCTGTTAATTAAAATACGTCAGTTACTATCTTTATTCAATAAATATAATCGTACATCGTAACGTAAGGAATACCGTGGTGTGTAATTGTCCTCGTCCGCGGAGACGCGTCCGCGCCCCAACGATTTGCAAATATATCTCTATATATAATATATTTTAATACACGTATGGTGTACACCCTCGAGCGACCCCGAGCGTGCACTGCTCTACGCGTATGTATACATATACCATCTTTAATAATAGATCTTTCTTCTCTAGAGACAGCACAAACACATAATATGTTACAGTATCGTTACAACGACAGTCGTTGCACGAGTTTCCGGCGAACGTCTTTCGATCCAATTTCCTCGACGTTCTATCGAGGAGTGCGACACCCAGGACGCGATGAGACTCGCGTGGAAACCCGCGCGACGCTCTCAATCTCCGCTAATTAAACTAATATTTACACGAGTCCGTCGCACGGCAAACGCGCCCGATCCTCGCCCGAATCTTTTCGCCTTTCCAACCGGATGTACGTACGCGTAGCAAAAGTAAAAAATAGGTACTTCACAGACCTCGAGAGAGGCCCCAAACTAATTGGAAATCGTGTCCTCGCTAGAAATTGGAAGAGCGTTGGAAGTCACCGGTGATGTATTCTCGGTGTTCATTCAGATTTATCGGTGGGTCGATCCTCTTACTTTTGCAATTTCGTCGCTCCGAGAGGGAAGAGAGAGAGTCCCCTTCGTAAAACGTTTCGCATACGAAAATAGGTGTATACCATTTACATTATATTATCTCACGCTATCACAATATATGTATGTACGGTCTAAGGTAAAGTCCTGGCTTGATATGTACAATATAATATATATATATATTATTTATAGTTCACAGTATTTTGCACGATGCCCCGTTTCGATCCGTTCCGTCCTATGAGACTTGTACTTATTGTCCGATATAATACTCCGAAGCTAATGAAAAAAGTAATAGTGGCATAATTCTGTGACAGAGTTTTGCTTTTGATTCGATCTCTCGACCAAGAAAAATAGAAATCTCCACAAGATCTTAACGCCCTGATGATATCTAAACGGAGCATCCTGCGATCGCCATAATCCCATGCGCCTGTCGCGAACCAAGTCCTAGAACATTTGTACACGTTTTCGAGTCTGCAATGCACTTTGATCGTTTGATTGTGTCGTCGGTAAGTTCTGGCGCGCCACCGAAGCCTGATCTCCAGCCGCGGGAGTTCCTTTCAAGCCCTTTACGAATAGAAATCAAACGGAAGTTGCCGACGTAAGATGGACGTTCTACTCGCGTGGAAATGCCGTGTCTGTGTCATCCGGGAATGGGGGAGGAACGTGTCAATGTCACGTTCTCAAATAATGGACGTAGACGCGGCTTCGGAGGCGAGTGGTTCCCTAGTGTCCCTAACGTCGACTTCGTACGACTGACCCAAGGGGCACGGGAAATTATCTCGAACGGTCGAAGAAACCTCTCTTCCCTTCTTTGCGAACGCAAGACCCAATGGAAAAACGTGACCGAGTACGGTGATTCGAAGTATATGTATAGCGCGTTCACGGTATATGCGCACGGTACGAGCCGATCTGATGAGCGTCTAGTGTGTACGCCGCATCGACCGCAAGGTAAAAAAGGGACGCGAGGAACACGGTTCCAGCGACCCCGGAATGGGTACGAGAATATTCTGTCCACGCGGCATCCGAACGTTTGCGGGGAGTGCGCGTGGCAGGTCTAGTTCGCGTCCATAGAAGACCCGCATCCGATGAGCGACGATCGCAAAGACAAATATTATCCGTGCCCGCGTCCGAGGGCGGCCCTTTCGATTCCAGTGGATCGTACGAAGACCCGAAGAGGTAGCATCTGCCGAGGCAGTGTCCCATTCAGAACGCAGGCGAGCGCCCTGGCCGAGTTCGGGATCATTGGACGAATTGCACGTTGAACGTCTCGATTTCCATCGGCCGAAGGCTGATCTCTTGGAGGCCGTCCTTCAGCCTATGCTTCGTCTTCGTCCCCGTCAGCGAGGTCTTGGTTACGTTCAGATTCGGCAGCTTGAAGAACGACGTTCCCGAACTCACTCTGTCCGACAGCGGGCAGTGTTTCAACGACACGTCCGCTCCCACGGAACAGCTGTAGCCTTGCCGGTGGAGCACCATCAGCGCACTGTTCACGGGGAAGTGCGGCAGCTTCTGGTCGTGATTGGTCCTCAGGTTCAACAGATGCAGATCACACGGGAAGCTCTGAGTCATTAACCGAACTTCTGGTGCCATCGCGACCTCGGCCTCCGTCCCGTCCACGACGAACATGTTCACCGGATAGTTGAGAGCGTTACTGAGGTGATTCGCGAACAGCGATGGCTTCGAGTACTTGTCTTTCTCCCCGACGATGTCTTCCAGCAACAGCCAATGCTTAATTACGGTCCTACGATTGTCCAGGAGACCTTCGCCCATCCCTCGCGAGTCGTCGTACAAAGTTCTGCGATCCAGCATCACTTCCAGCCATCCCGGTTGATAGCTGGCAGCTCCTTGGCAGTGGTTCACCAGCAGCGTGAGCCTGTGGTTGTTGTCTTCTATATAGGCCATCGTCGTGATGGGAAAGTAGTTGCCCTCGATGCCGATCCTCTCTATCTTCGTCCTTTTGATCATTTGAAGACCGTTCAAGTCGGTGTAAAACTCCGGCGTGTCTCCGTTCACTATGTCCGTCTGTAGCCGCATGAACATCTCGGTCTCTCTGTTCTTCGGCGGCGTCTCGAAGTCCACGATGTTCCTCAGATAGATCGCCTCGCCCAGTCCGTCGTCCCTGTGATAGATCGCAACGTGATGGGTCAACAGCTTTCCGTACTCGACGGTCAACCGAGAACTGAGGCTCCCGCTGACGATGTAGATCTTCTGATGGGGCGTGTATGCCTCGAGCACGTCTTTGTCGGTATCCTTCAGGTTCGGATCGGGCATGAACAAGTACGCTCCGCTGTGAAATTGTGCGGACGGATAAGCGGCGAACTGTATCGCGCACTGCATGATTTTGCCAGTCGCTTTTCTGGTGACTCGCTTCAGGAAACCGGTCTGACCGTCGAACAGTAACTTCATCCTCTGATTCTCGAGCTGAACGTCGCCCACTTTCATCGGTTTTATAGGAAACACGTTGTCCTTGCCGCATCGGCTACAGTAAACCGTGGAAATAGCCTCCACGGGCACTTTGTCGGTCTCCTGAAGATGGTAAGTGGCTATCGCGAGAGGTTTCAGCTCGACCACGAACAGCAGGACGTAAACGTCGTGAGTGATGCTGGTGGCGTTCATCACCGGAGCTATTTGATAGGGAATCGGATTCTTCCACGGGTCCAGAACTCGAACCTTGTACGAGGTCACTTTCAGACTGATCACTTCTTGCCTCGGCTGAGCCAGAGGGTTGAACAAGACGATCTTCTTCGTCTCTTGACTGGTTAGTCCGACCGGAATCTTCTTCGGTAACTTTTCGTAGCTGTCCCTGTCCGATTCCGCGAGAACGTAAACGGAGTTCGGTTTGCTAGGAGTCCCGGCGAGGGACTGTATGGCGTAACTCTGCAGGCTGGTCGTGTCCGAGATGGATTCGAACAATTTCAACGCGTAGTCCTTCATCACGAACGACTTCGAGGTGCCCGTGATGGCATCGTGGTGTTGGAACAAACCCAAGTTCCGCCTGGCTTTCACCAGCTTTTCGAAGTACGTCTCGTACAACATGAAATCCTTGCTGGTCTGTTTGGCGACGTTGAACGCGATCGTATACAGGATCTCCGCCGATCTTAGGTTGGCCTCGAGTTCGCGGTCTAAGATCTTCATGTACGGCCTGGTGGTGAAGTAACCGCTCCAATACGCTGCCCTTCCCTCGCTGAATATGTCCGAGTAAACGAAGAAATCTCCTTTGAGCGTCGGGAACGTCTCGACGCGTTTTCGAATCTCGCGAAAGTAGTCCTTCGGTGTGCCGAACACTATCTCAGCGTTGTACTCTTCCTTTCTACTGTTGATATAGTCCATCAGTATCTTGTAGTTGGTGTACTGTTGGTCCCATTCGATCGCGTGATCGTAACGGAAGTCGTCGCCGAGAGGCATCAGTACCACGTTGTGCGTGAACAGAGAGCCGGTCCTCCAGTACTGTTCCAAGAGCAGCTCGGCCATCTGTTTCACGTTGTTCGGCGTGATCTCGACAGCCCTGACCGAGTACTCGGTGTACTCGCCGCGGATCTTACGAAAGTCGAAGTTCAGACAGACGTGAGGGTGAGGGCCGCACGAGTGCTTTATGTTGTAAATGTCGAACGGCTGATTGTGGGTCAACATGCCGGATTTCCCCGTCTGATCCCACGATTGGAGCCAGACGAAGTCGCCGTACTGCTTCTTCGCGAACCATTGCTTCCACGCGTAATGGATTCTTTGGATTACCGTGCCGGAAGCGCCGGACTCTTTCAGGAAGTACGGGATGGTCGCCCCGTGACCGAAAGGGTCCACCGACCATCCCGATTCCGGGATCACGTCCAGGTTCGTCTTCAACCATTGGTGACCTGCGGAACAGAACGATGGGAATTAGACCGAAGAGAAAAATTTCTTTAGTTCGAAGTTACATGTTTCGAAATTTTGAGGAACGGTGTTATTGTAACGCGATAAAGAAACGAAGTACGATTCGATGAAATACGGGAACGAATCCATTCGACGGCCATCAAATAAAAAAACTTGACCGATTGGATGGATCGCAAAGTGTCACAGGGTCCGTCCTTACTGATACAGGATTCTCTGACACGATTTCTCACGGCGGGGTCTCCGTTTCGATACGTGGTCGGCAGCTGTAATCGCTGCCTATTTATCAGTTCACGATCCCGGCCCTCCGAGCATTCCTCACTGGCCAGACGAACCCCGTGCAACAGCGGGGAGTTAATCCACACCCGTTGCCACGGGATAGAGACTCCTCGATCGACGATTTATGGGGATATTGCACGGCGTACAACGCCCGTGGCGACTAAATAACCGTTTCCATTAATTATGTTGCGAAACCTGGTCGCAGCAGCCCGGATCAGACCCGACGCCCGAAAATCCTACGAGTCGACGAAACGCTCCGCTTCACAGCGACAGGAATAAAAATACGTAGAAGAGAGAAGTATCGGCCTCTTCCGATGTCTTTGATTCGGGCGAAATAAAAGCAACAAGTTGGCGCGAGTATTTATTATCGTTCCGTTTGCCCGCGGTTCTTCCGTCTGACCGATGCGACGCCACGCCACTAGACGAGTCTGTCAGTAGCGGAGGTCGACGCTCTATCGAACGAACCAAGTAGTCGCGGCCCGTGTCGTGTCAGACGGCCACTAGTGATGCGAGACGTTTTAATTAAGGTCAGTCAGCCGAGCAGCGAACGATCAAAAACGTTTATACCCTGCCCTTGCCTGGAACGTTTCACCCTCCGCCTTTACACCGATCGAGTCTCATTGTTGGAATAAAAATTTCACGCAGAAACAACGACACGCCGCGCGATCGGTCTTTTCACGTAATTACTTCGTTCCATGCAATTTTCATTTGGAAGGGCGAGGAAAATTGGTTTGACACCGTTCAACGGAACGAGCTCATTTCCCACGTTCAACCGGAGTTCGAGGGTGTCGATCGCGAGAGCCGGGAATTAGTCTCGTCGAGTTCTCGCGAAAAGCCGCCCCTTCAGCGATACTTGGCCGGGACCAAGTTCGAAACTCCGTGGAATTAAAGTCCAGGAACCCCCCGTTCGATTCGATTCGTCGTCCCTGTTCGATCCCCGTGGCCGAGCCCTGAAACCTCACCGCCGCCAACTCTTTTCCAACTTGTTCGTCGCCCGTCCTACTCCCCCCCGCCCATCGTCCTTTGTTCTCTTCCTCGAGCCTCGTCTCATAATTAAACCGCGAATCTTTACGCAAACGACTCGGAGGAAGGAAGGAAGTCGGCAATTCGGGACGTCGAATTTACGTTCGTCGTGATCCAAGTTTTGGATCGACGGGAATTAATTTGGTGACTCGATGCGTCTCGTCGCGCGTAAAGTCATGATCGGAGTGGAGCATCCGGCGGCTGAGCGTGGCTGAACGGTTCGTCGGGCCACGCCTCGCCTCTGGCCCTTCCGTCGGGTGCCTCTACAAAAAAATTCGATCGATCCGGGGAAGGAAACGTTTCGTTCGGCCAACGATTCTGAGTCTTCGAATCTGCAGCCTGTAATTGCAAACGGTACTCGGGAGCGTCCGCGATAAAGCGAAAGCCCGCAGAGGCGAGGGAGGAACGCGCGATTCGTGGCTCGAGCCGGCTTCCTCGAATAATTGACGCAATTTCCTCGCCGCGACCGCCGATGACTCCGTGCGAATGCACCGAACGGTCCACCGGAACGGTAACGATCCCGGCAGTGGTGGACGTCAACATTTAAGCACGCTCCAACGATCTCGAGTACTCCGCCACCGAATCGAAAATACAGGAATTCCGGGCGTGTTCGCGACGACCGTGCCTAGACGTCAGGAAACTGGAATTAGTTTCGAGCCGAGCTCGAGAGCGTCCTCGGGGCTCCGGTAATTGTTCGATTCGCGAGTACGCGGTCGACTTCCAACCAACGAATACCGAACCGCGATATCGTCGATAACGGGTTCTCGTGCGTCTGACACGGTTCCTCTCGAACTCGCACGATTCTTCCCAACAGACGGATCCCGATCGGGTTCCCACGAAAGTAAGGAAATCGGTTTACCCGAGACGGATAATTGATTCGCTGGTCGTTACGGCAATCGGAGCGGCGAACAATGGAACGGTGTATTACCGGGCGGGTCGAACCATTGACCCCGTGCACCGTGGCGATAAATCAATCGTCCCATTGATCGAACAGGTGCGATCGGAATTAGACGGGCTCGCGATCGTAAATTACCCGACGCGCCGATCCGCGTTTACGATCCGTGACGCTCGGATTTGTCGCAACGAGATGCATAATTCAAACCTCTGAGTACCGTTCGTCCGGTGCCTCTCGGTAAATCTTTTTCACGACCGACTCTCGTGATTCCGACGAGCAAAGGGAATCGATCGAGATTCGGCCGTGAAAACGGGGCGAACGAAGGGCTAGTCGTTTTTCGAGGGACGTTCGGAATCGCCGCGACGCGACACTTTAATTCCCGCGCAATTCAGTGCGACGATCGTTCCTTTCGCGAAACGCAATTAAGTATCGCCCGGGACCCGTTCTCTTTCCGCCTCCGAGCTCGATCTTCCCTTTCCCCACTCGAGGGTCACGGGGCTCGGAGACTCACAAAGGTGGTCGTTCCGCGATGATACTCGTCACGGCTAAAAGTAGAAAGGGACGAGTTAATTACGAGTTCGCCGCGGGGTAGTTTTGAAGCGATCGCGACGAGGAGCTGCCGTTCCTCGCCCCGGGATCCGGGACGGCAGAACTGATCCGATTAAGTGGAGGGAAACTTGCCCGTTCGCGAATGTCCTTCGCTCTCTTTTGAACGAGGCGCGACGTTCAGTTGCTCGCGGAAATCATTCAGAAGACGCTTCCGCAGGAAATTATAAAAATTCCGTTCAAACCCGACCTCCTCTCTCGATTTCATGGAAAAGTCCGAAGGGGAGAACGGAGGAGAGAGGCGAATCGAACGGGAACTGGATGCTCCTCGTATCTCAGCGAACTTACACGCTTTATACCAGGGAAGGGGAGATGTTCTCGGGAGGAGCGGTAAGAGGAGAGCGTAAGAGATCCGAGTCGCAATATCACCGGCAGGACTCTCGTTCGATTCCCTACGTTTTCCAGCGGGCAACCGGAGTAAACGCGAAGGGTGGAAGGAAGATTCCGCGATGGCACACGCGACCATAAATGCTTTTATCCCGCGATATTTACGCTGGATCTAAAAGATACCCGTATTTGGGTTCTCTCTTCCCCTCTCGACTCTTTTCCGCGTGTCGGTTACGTTCGCGGAACGTATCCACGGTTTCCCGAAGAGTAAACGGGGCGTCTGGGTAAACGCGAGTACGAGAACGTAAGAGTATAAAGACCGGATACCCGGCAAATTAAAGTTCCGCTCGGAAACGCTGAAACGCTTTCTCGTCCGAAAACGAGCATCCATTAAATTCGCCTGCTTCTCATAACTGAAACTTCGCGACGACCCGGTGCCGCGTAGGAGGATCGACGGAACGGAAGCCGGAGATGCGACACGAATTCCACGGAAATTATGTGGATTCGGCCGTATTAACTTCCAATTATCGGGGACATCGAATATGTATGCGACCGATTCGCGTTTAGAACGCTGAATTTGGACGCTGGGCGCGGTCAATACGCGTGGCTCGCGGCCACCACGCCGCCGATACGCACGCACAAACCTCACCTATATAGAAGTATCGGCAAATATTCCATGCGTGAATACGCAATGCGTTGCCAACAAATCCACCCCCGTTGACCTCGTCCCGTTCGACTACTTCCAAACCGACCCGAGCTGATTAACGCACGGTGAATTCTCGCTCTCGGCGACGAGATTTAAGGATGTATTGGCTATACAGTCAATCCCAAAAGTTTATGTACCTTAGAAAAAGGTACTGACGTCCTCTACAAGAAAGATTTTATGTATTTTTCTTCTAATTCGAGTATTTAACAAGTTACATATGATTATTTGGCATTTTATTGATGTTGACAAAATCCGACCATCCCAGCCTCGAAACCGCGAACTTTTCGCAAAAAATTTCGTTTTTCCTTAATAACTCCTAAACTGTTGAATCTACGGGAAAATTGTATAGAACCTTTCTTGTAGAGGAT